GCGATGAATTTTAGGTCATTTTTAAAGTGTCGTAAAAGAAAGCAATGATTTTTTTTACTATCCATTTTTTTACCACTTGTTTAATAATATTATTACAATACAATACAAAAATTAAAAAAAAAGTTGAAAATTGAAGAAACTGGCAGCTGATGAAGTGGGTGGTCTCAAAAATTTGGCACCTCAGTCTTGGCATGATTTCAGCCTTCCTAGCCATCGGAAATGCAAAAAATAAAAAAATTATGAATCTACAATGATGTCGCAATCGCCCAAACTAGCGATGAGTAAAAAAATGTTTTTTTTACAAATTGCGGCTGTTTAAAAAAAGTGTTTTTTACTGTTTATTTGAGTTTCTCGATTTTTTTTAAATAGTAAAATTTAGAGTTTGGTGATAATCCTAGTTTGGGCTATAGATAGGTCTATAAACAAGACTCTCTGAACATTTCAAGTAAATCGGTCGTGTAGAACTCGAGAAATCGTGTCAACAGTACTGAAAAAGTCTGTTCTGAGGAAAACGCATTTAAAGTTTTGCGTGAAGCCAAACCAGTATGGAGACCGAGTCTGTAAAATGCCTATATCTCCGAAAATAATTCAAATTTTCAAAAACCTTTTTGCACCCATATTCTTAGATAGGTAAACTTTTAAAATATGAATTTAAAAAAATCGATTTGTTTTAATTTCTACACTAGAATACCCCCTTAAGGCTGTTATATACTGTTAGAAGACCGTAAAAAGCGATTTTTATACACATATAAAGGCATCTAACTATAACTATAATTTAAAAACTAGTGGGTATGGCATCCTGCATTAGGACAAATTGCTCGAACTTCCCGTACCAGAATTAAATAATCGAGGGAAAAAATCAGTAATCAATCAATATTGATCAATGATTAATTACATTTGTTTTAAACAATTTCAAATACATAATTATAATCACTATATATTTTATCGTTCATAAAATATACAGTGACGCTGTATCTAATATATCGCTAAATAACTTGAGAAAGTTTACATTAGCAAGAGGTGCTGAATGAATCCATCTGAGGATATATTCCTTACCATCATTTTAAATATATACATTTTCAAACTGAATTGTAAATTTGATATTTGTATATGAAGTATAAAACATTGTATATTTTAGAAAATTAAAAATAAAAATCTGAACATTTTGAAATTTGCTGAAACCATATAAGTAAACTTTAAAAATTAAAAATCTTGGTACAGAACCCAACGAAATTGTAACAAAATTAGTACTTATTTTCAAAAACTTTATCAAATATCTGATAATTTGATGTACATGTCTAATGATCATTTTTAACCGCCAAGTATAATTTTATTCCCCTTCACTCAGAAACTGCTAGACCTGCTTTACCAAAAATTTCATTAATTCTTCATTTCGCCAATACAAGTACATAAAAAATGTTTTTTGAATCATTCAAATCTGAACTGAAACTGAATTACTATTCTTGGCGCTTTTTGTCCCGTATCTTTGAAACGGCTGAACCTGCCTTCGCCAAAAACTAATCAACACGTCTTCCTATTAATAGAAATCGAATGTTTTTTGAAAATTCAAATCGGTTACTCACACACATATACATCAATTTTTTCTAAGATATGCCAAAATGTTCAGAAACCCTTGAAACGTAAAAATATATAAAAAATTTCTTTTTCGACTTGTTTGCGATTAATATAACTTCACCCATGGGAAGTTAATGAATAATGCGATATCCAATTGCTGTCTTTCAAACATACAGTGGAAACTCTATTAACTGGACTAATTGTTAGTCGATAGGCATTCGGATAATCTAAAATCAGAATAATCGAATATATGAAGAATTTTGTTATTTGTTTATTAAAAATAACAACTATATATTGATATAAACGAAAATCAATGTTTATTAAAAAATTAATGTATCTACATTAGAGCGGGTCGATTTCCATGGGTCAAAAAAAAGTCGCTTAGACACATATGATTTTCGGATACTAGGCATCAAGATAAGATACTTTGCTGAAGAAACCATACGTCCAAAATGAAATCTGATGTCTCATGCATTGACCTAAAAATAAGGGTTAAATTCTGTTGTCCAAATGTATGACCGACTCCCACTAACTTTGAACCTACGTATCTACAAATAATTTGTTTACAATATGCATTTGGAAATCATGAAATAAGTAGGTAACAAGTTGAAATTGATTTAATTTGGTTTGTATAATTTTGACTTGTAAGTATGTGCATACATATAAATTGGTCGTGGTTAGTAGTCCGGATAATCCGTATTACTGAGGGCCGAATAAACGAGTTTCTAACGTACTTATAATATCTGTAATTGTATGATTTAAATTAATTTGTTTTTAACATTACATTTCATCTATTTTGTGTTTTAAAAATATACTTTATTCAAGGATGAACGTCAACTGCAATCAGTAGCTACTCGAAAAACACAAAACAAACATTTCTTTGGCTTAGAATCTGATTGGAATTGCTCAAGCGCGCGGCGAAATTCTAAACTTTGATGATTTTTTGTAATTCAACCGCTTATCGTAGGTCTATAATATGTTAGTATGTTGTTTCAGACTATCATATCTATCGTTATTTTTATTTATTGAAATTACAAAAATATAAACAAAGTAGTACCTGTCTAGTGTGCATGAATTGCGCAATTCGTCTGCGCAAAGACAACAATCGGTGACGCAAACCACATGCCCGGGTAAATGACGACGCAACGCAACACATGCAAAATCGATTCAAAAGTTTGTTTTTATTAAGTAAATAAATATATTTCTTTAACAAAGTTCCGTACTGAAATACCACTAAAGCACACTTCTCAAATGCAAAGCTACAGGTCACAGTTGACGACAATTTATTAAGGGGGTCTTCCTATGTGACGGCTTGTTTTTTAGGGATATTTTAGGATTTTTTTTCTACGACCAAATATTTAGAGCTTCAAGTTTTTTATCATTTATTAACACATATTTGGACAGTATAAATATAAAATTTCAGCTAAAAATATTCAGTCAAACTAGAGTTACAGCGCTCTGAACACCCCCGCCTCGAAAAAAAGAGCTCCCACTTCCTCCACGATTCCGGCTGATCGGCTTATCTGAAAAAAAAAAATAAACGGCGTTTTAATCTGTTTTTTGTTTTTTGCTATAAAAAAATGATAATAGTACATTCCATGCGTTTAAATATATTGAGTGTGCCCTGTAAATTTCAAGTAATTCGGTCCAGCCGTTTCTGAGATACAATGGAGGAAAGTTTGAAAAACACAGTTTTGAGAAAAACGCGTTTAAAGTTTGTAACTGCCAACTCAGCGCTCAGAACCGCTCTTTCTTTTACCTGCTGTATCTTTAAAACGACTTCGAATTTTCTAAAATCGCTTTACTACCGTATTCTAGACATGTTAAAGGAGCAATTTATGAAAAAAAATCGATTTTTTCAACCCATCACATAGGAAGACCTCCTTAACTTCCTGTAGGGTAAATTATAGTAAACTGAGAATTTTTATATATCGTTACGTTTCAAAGGTTTCTGAACATTTTGACATATTTTAGAAAAAATGCGGATACAATATTTGGTCGACGATTTCGAGAACGTTCAATTCGTATTGATAAGAAGACGTGCTGATTAGTTTTTAGCAAAGGCAGATCGAGCCGTTTCGAAGATACGGGGCAAAAAGTGCCCAAAATGGTCAATCAATTTTTGAGAAAACAGAGCGTCCGATTTGAATGATTCAAAAAACATTTTATTTGTATAGACTAAACGAAGAACTAGCTGTTATGAACTCTCTATAAAAGAAATGCCATTTGGCGCTCAAAAATCTTAATTAGACATATACACATCAAATTATCAGATATTTTAATAATGTGTACACATTTTGTGTAATTCTTTTTGGTTTCCGTACCAACATTTTTAATTTTGAAGTATTTTTATATGGTTCAAACAAATTTTCTTGACATTTTCGACAGTATAAAATAAGCGATTCATATGATTAAAAAAACATTCGGTTCGTGCTCGAATCGTGAGACGTTTTTGCAAAAGGCACGTTTTGCCGTTTCGGAGGTATGGAGCGCAAAGTGATCATCCGATTAAGTTAATTCAAAAAATCTTTTGTTTGTGTAGACGTAATGCAAAAAATGGTTTTACTAAAAATTTCGTAGTTCTGAAAATTTTCAATTTAATTAAATAATTTAAAGTTTCAAAATATTTTCAGTTTTTCAAATTTTCGAAATTTATCATTCTCAAATAAAATCTAAATTACGAACAATTTCAAAAAATACCAGAATTTAAAAAAAGTCGATTTCTTCCAAATATTTGAGAATATTTCAAAATTTTCAAGAAACGGATATTTTAAAAATTTTCCAAATTTTCAAAAAATTCAAAAAATGATTTTTTTTTAATTTCGAACTTTAAAAATTTTTCAAAATTTTGGAAAATTTTCAAAATAATCAAAAAAATTAAATTTTATACAAGAATTTCTTGTAAACATACACATAAGTTGTTTGTAGAATACGTTCGGCGCCCAATTATTTAAGCACAAATTTACAAATGTGTTTATAATAAATAATCTATTTGAAATTATTTAAAGAATTATTGATTATTTTCATTCCTCGAATGCTTTATTATGGTAGGGAAAGTTTCAGCCATTTGCCTTAAGGCACGATGCATGACCACTAGTTAATATTATCATTTTAATAATATGACTCTAGAATTATATGATAAAACATTATTTAACTGTATTTTTTGGCACTCAACTTTTCATATGGTAAAACCTTTGTCACAAATGAGGTAGAAGACCTATAATTTTATACAGGATTTGTTTAAAATACAGAAATGATTTGTTAATATGTTAATATAAATAAAACCATAAATATATTCAAAATATAAAATGCCAACAAAATTTAATTTTGAATTATTACAGAGATAATGATCACAATTTTTCAACATACATATCATGTTTGATCATAATAATCATATCTGCATATTATCAAAATTAAAAAAAAACTCATAAGGCATTCGTTTTTAAATATTCTTCTTCATCAGATATCAATCGCTCTACAAGGAATTCTTCCACAGTGTCTGTATCCCATTTTGTAATCGATAACGTTTCTTTGACAGTACCATCTTTGTCCAAAAGCTTTATCATAGGATCTAAACCACGGACGTATTTGATTTGCAAATTAGGATATTTAGATGGTCTGTCACTTTTGATAAATGCTTGAATTTGAGGATAAGCTCCGAATTTGCATGTGCATACTTCCAAAACTGCTTTAGGATACTTCGGAGCAATCAAATCGTCATCATCTTTGTTGCAACACTCCAAACAGTGGTCTCTGAAAAAAATAGTAATAGAAATAAAGAAATTTTGAATTTTTAAATACTTTTGCACAAAATATATTCATATCAAAAAATCATATTCATATCATATGAAAGAGATCTGATTAGCAAAACTTCTTTTAAAATAAAATATGTATATAAAGCAAAAGATATTATAGAAAGTGACATAGATTTTTTTTTAATTATTTGGACATCACTCAATTAAAGTTGCACCTATTTTATGAACAATGTTTTATGTTCTCTACAAAAAAGTCTTCTTAGTTGATTCAACAGTTGATAAGTTTAACGAGATAATATAATTGTGCAACTTGTGCCGTACTAAACATTTATTTTCTTATTTAGTAGCATATATAAATAGTTATGCAAATTTCCATAATTACTTTATTATTCCTAATCCAAAACTGTCTAGTTCATGACAAGATGAGCAATATAAATCAAGTTTATTGAATCCTAAAGCTTTGCAATCTTCATAACTGTATTCAGCATAAATGGTAACCTAGAAATAGTATAGAAATTGTTTTTAATAAATTGCATTATATTAATTTTATATAACATATATCAAATTACAATTAAACTTGAAATTATTGTGATAAATATGTATTTCCACATGACTTCAGTCCTTAAAGGTAAATGACAATGTATATATATATCAAGCCTTTCCAGTTGTTCGATAATAATTTTGATACTAGTGGTTTGTTTTAAACTATTTTATAGTACCAATAATGAAAAACCGTAAAATTATCAATCATAACTTTTCTAATAAATAGTTTTCTATATTTTTAAGGGCAGTGTAAAATAATAACACTATTTATTACTTAAGTTTCTGACATTCAACACATTTGACATTTGACAGTTTTCATCATTCTACACGCCAACAGTAGGTTGAGAACCACGCTAACTGTGGTTTCCAACCTTTTTGTTGAAAACTGAACTGAAGATTTAGAAGATGTAGAAAGAAACTCTGATGGCGTTATTATTTATATTACATTGCAATATATTTCTAAATTATTTTCTAATCTTGAGTCGAGTACCAATTAAGTAAAAATATTATACAAATGCTCTGAGAGCTTTTTTTGTAACTTTTTTCTTGAATTCATTAACTTTTCTTGAATTCTAACACTCCTGTATCTGGACTCGAGTACTAATTAAGGAAAATATTTATACAAATGCTCTGAGAGCTTTTTTTGTAACTTTTCTTGAATTCATTAACTTTTCTTGAATTCTAACACTCCTGTATCTGGACTCGAGTACTAATTAAGGAAAAATATTATACAAATGCTCTGAGAGCTTTTTTTGTAACTTTTTTCTTGAATTCATTAACTTTTCTTGAATTCTAACACTCCTGTATCTGGACTCGAGTACTAATTAAGGAAAAATATTATACAAATGCTCTGAGAGCTTTTTTTGTAACTTTTTTCTTGAATTCATTAACTTTTCTTGAATTCTAACACTCCTGTATCTGGACTCGAGTACTAATTAAGGAAAAATATTATACAAATGCTCTGAGAGCTTTTTTTGTAACTTTTTTCTTGAATTCATTAACTTTTCTTGAATTCTAACACTCCTGTATCTGGACTCGAGTACTAATTAAGGAAAAATATTATACAAATGCTCTGAGAGCTTTTTTTGTAACCTTTTTCTTGAATTCATTAACTTTTCTTGAATTCTAACACTCCTGTATCTGGACTCGAGTACTAATTAAGGAAAAATATTATACAAATGCTCTGAGAGCTTTTTTTTGTAACTTTTTTCTTGAATTCATTAACTTTTCTTGAATTCTAACACTCCTGTATCTGGACTCGAGTACTAATTAAGGAAAAATATTATACAAATGCTCTGAGAGCTTTTTTTGTAACTTTTTTCTTGAATTCATTAACTTTTCTTGAATTCTAACACTCCTGTATCTGGACTCGAGTACTAATTAAGGAAAAATATTATACAAATGCTCTGAGAGCTTTTTTTGTAACTTTTTTCTTGAATTCATTAACTTTTCTTGAATTCTAACACTCCTGTATCTGGACTCGAGTACTAATTAAGGAAAAATATTATACAAATGCTCTGAGAGCTTTTTTTGTAACTTTTTTCTTGAATTCATTAACTTTTCTTGAATTCTAACACTCCTGTATCTGGACTCGAGTACTAATTAAGGAAAAATATTATACAAATGCTCTGAGAGCTTTTTTTGTAACTTTTTTCTTGAATTCATTAACTTTTCTCGAATTCTAACACTCCTGTATCTGGACTCGAGTACTAATTAAGGAAAAATATTATACAAATGCTTTTAGAACTTTTTTTTAACATTTTTTCCTGAATTTATTAACTTCCCGTATGGTAAGTTATAGTAATCGCAAAAAATCGAAAATTAAAACTTTTATATACATATCTTCGCATTTCAAAGGTTTCTGAATAATTTGGCATACTTTAGAGAAAATGACTGTACGCGTGTGTGTGCGGATATAAATTTTCGTCGACGATTTTGGGAACACGGTTCAACCTATTGGAATAATTCAATATCATTCGATTCGTATTGATAAGGAGACGTGCTGTTTAGTTTTTGGCATAGGCAGGTCTAGCCGTTCCGAAGATACGGGGCAAAAAGTGTCACAAACGGTAACTCAGTTTTTAAGAGAACAGAGTGTCCGATTTTAATAATTCAAAAAACATTTTGACCAGATGGAGAATTGTTAACTTCCCGTAGGGTAAGTTATAGTAATCGCAAAAAAATCGAAAATGAAAATTTTTATATATCTTTACGTTTCAGAGGTTTCTGAACATTTTGGCATACCTTAGAAAAAATGGATGTATGTGTGTGTGTGTGTGTATGTATGTATGTGTGTGTATGTATGTGCGGATACAAATTTTCGTCGACGATTTCGGGAACACGGATCAACCGATTTGAATAATTCAAAAAACATTCGATTTGTACTGATAAGGAGACGTGCTGATTAGTTTTTGGCGAAGTTAGCTCTAGCCGTTCCGAAGATGCGGGGCAAAAAGTGCCGAAAACGGTAACTCAGTTTTTAAGAGAACGGAGCGTCCGATTTGAATAATTCAAAAAACATTTTACTTGTATTGGCAAGATGAAGAGTTGATCAAATTTTCATGAAGGCAGGTTTAGCGGTTTTGGAGATCTAATGAAAAAAGTAAAAAAAATGCCATTCGGCGGTTAAAAAAGATGATTAGACATATGCACATCAAATTATCAGATATTGTATAGAAATTTTAACAATAAGTATAATTTTTTTTTACATTTCTATGGGTTCCGTACCAATGTTTATGCGTTAGACGGCGGCGCGGCACTTGCGCTGTGACAATTCGTCTCTATGCAGTTCAAGCAGTACGATTGCTTTGAAAAAAAGTTCAGAATTTCCAAAATATGTCAAAATGAAGAAAACATTTTTCTTTTCAAAAAAATAGTTTGTTTTCAAAAAAAAAATTTTTCTTTCAAAAAAAATTTTTTTTTTTCATATAAAAATTTTTTTTTCAAAAAAAAGTAATTTTTTGTCATATTCCTAGTTTCTCAAAAATCTAATAATTTCGAAGTAAATTTTTTTCAAAAATGTTAATCGTTTTTAAAAAAATAATAATTTTTGGTACGGGAAGTTCCAGCAATTTGCCTTAAGGCACGATGCTCTAATTGCCTTAAGACAGAATTCCACTTACAGCTAGTTAAATTTTTGGGAAGGGGGGTCCAGGCGGTTATGGAGTCTCAATAAAAATAAGTTGAAAAAGTGTCATTTAAATGACATTGTCAATTGTCAATTGACGATCAAAAATGTTTATTCGACATATGTACATCAAATTATCAGATATTTTATAGAGATTTTAATTACCAAGATTTTTAATTACGGTAAGGAATTACGGAAGTTCCAGCAATTTGTCTTAAGGTACGATGCCATGCACCCGACCAGTTTACTATTTCATCATAAAACCTTGATTTTTTGTCCTTTTGCATTAATATAATTTTGCTCTCTAGAGCTAGAGAAAATAGCTATTGTCTCTGTTAAATTCTTAGTAAATTTGTTATTGAAATTCAAACTACTAAATTATAAAATATATAATTTAATTAATACTGAGTAATTATAATATTTAATAAAGTCAATATAAATAACACTAATGTTATATTTTTGTAGCTACTTTTTGAGTATGAAATTTTATTAGGATTATGAAAAAACTTTTATAAGTTTTTTGTAAAAATTCCTGTTTTTCTAATATTGATTTTATTTTCATTATTTTTTACTAATATTTTTGGATGTGAATGTTTTGACAAGTTTTGAATTGAGAGATAATAGTCAATGACTTTTTACCAAGAAATGAGTGAAAAATGTGGATTTTTGACATGTTTTGATTTTAATTAAAAATCATGGACTATACTCACATTTCACATTTTACACTCTCATTCATATTTTATTTAAAAAAAAGTTTGAAAATGCAATTAATAGTCATGATTATTGACCGTAGGCTAGTTGTTATAGTATATGTATGTTGTATATTAAGTATTCTGAAAATTGTTTCCAAAAAGGTTTCAAATCGATTTCATATTTCATTTTACAGTTATTATAGAAAATATTTATAATATGAAATAAATATTCATAGAAATATTTTTAATATGAAAATTTTGTACATATTTATAGTTTGTGTCGAAGCTCTTGATTCTCACAATTGAAAGACTGTAGTACAGATGGCAAGTCTAATTTTTTGATACAGAAGTCGTCAGGTTTATATATAAAACCGAGGCTATTATGGTTTATAAAAATGGTATTTCACATCTTACTTATATAAAGGATCAAAATATGAAGTACTATTATAAAAAGATAATACCATAAAATCTCAAGTAAGGGGGCGTCCAATAGCCACGTGAGCGAGTTTCTAAGAATTTTTGGACCCCCCTCCCCCTTGGTCATGCTTAGTGATATTCGAAATTATTCCCCCTCCCCCACCAAACATCACGTGTATTTTTAGTTAAGTGATAAAACTGTAAAATTTTTGAAGTTTTATTGAAAATGTTTGAATTAAAAAAAAATCAGTTAAAAAATAAACACATGTGATATCTTTCTATATCCCTCCCTCCTCCAAGTTATATTTCGTGATTTTTTGTCAAACCCCCTAAAAACCTCACTGATTAATGGACGCCCCTTAACTAACTTACTTAAAACTTATTTATAAACTTCTTTATAATATGAATTTTAAGTTTTAATTAATTTATTACATTTATGTACGACGAATTTATTTATTGGATGTTAATTCCAGTGATATGACCATTGTTCACACAAGTTTTTAATTTATTTATCATTACAATACGTACAATATATATTGATACAATCATGTATATTAATTAAAATATTTAATTAAATATTTTAATTATGATAATTATACCAGGATGCGACTTTCTTCCATGTCAACCATGAGGTGAAGTTGCTAGGCGCGTTTTTTTAATTTGATGTCGACACAGAAATAGACACTTTTATTCGTATTTACGCATCAAACATTTTACATGGAAATGGATATAGTGTAAATATTACTAAGCATTGATTTGTGCAGCCCTAAACCACTTAAACTAACTTATAAACTAAGTATACCTAACCGAACCGAATGTAATGCGAAAAGAACCCCCGCGAAATGCCCTAATGTACCCAAACATTTTAATTTTTGAAATGGAAAGAACCTCTCGAGTTAAAGAAAAAAAAACAATATAAAAAGTGTATTTTAGTATTATAAGGGCGATTGTAAATTTACAA